TTCTCTTGTTGACATGTTACTGTTGTTTGTTTTCTCTTGTTGACATGCAACTGTTGTGTTTTTTACATTGTAGTTTTGTTTTCCTGTTGTTTACGTGGCTTGTGTTATTTACACATTACTGTTGTTTTGTGTTTCAGTCGTTTGGAGAGAGTCTGTTTGTTTCAGTCGCTGCTCCTCGCTTGGACTCCCCGAAGGCAGATTCACACCATGTCCATCTGCCGCACACACACACACACACACACACACACACACACCTACCTCAGAACAACACACACACACACCTACCTCAGAACAACACACACCTCAGAACCACACACACACACACACACACAGGGACAGCTGGACTGGTTCATCATCAAACACTGAAAGCTGTGACTAAAACACAGCTTCATATTTCTGATCTTCTGAAGACATTTTCATTCATTCATGTTGCCAGAACCAGAACCAGAACCATGAAAGACCAGAAATAACAGCTCTGTAAGTAGAACTGGGCTTTGGGTTCAATAAGGTCCACCACAAGTTAAGTGATTAACCTCCCCATCCTCACAACCACAATGAAATAATCTCTGCTCCAATGCACTAAAATTAATTTATCATTTAATCATACAATCACTTCCTGTTTAGAACTCTACTTCCTGTTTGGGAATTTTCAATTCAGCCTTTACTTCTACAGGTTGGTCTCATTGAGCCTCGAGGACTCATTTACAGAGACACCTGATTTAAACAAAGAGTGATGACAACTGTGGTCGATCATGTATAGAACATATAAATTGAAAAATCAAATGGAAGAAATTGTATTTAAAAAATGAAACAAAAACCGATGATTCACACCAGAACCTAAGAATTTCCAAAACTGAACCCAATCAGTTCAGACCCGGCATTTTCTTAGGTTCTGTAAAGCGATATAAAATACTAAAAACACGAACATGTCTGTTGGTTCTTGCCAGGAACTTAACAGATGTTTGAAGTCCCTTAGAGAGGTCAAGGTCGAGAGCTTCAGATCTTTTTACAAGATATTCCAGGAAACAGGAGCGGAGCAGGAGAAGGTCCTTTTGTCTAGTTCAGTCCTCACTGAGGGAACACTGCAGGTAATGATGTCCTGAGAGCGCACGCTATAGCTGCACTCACACAGAGACGTGTAGGAGGAGATGTATGAAGGCAACAGACTGAGAAGAGATTTAAACATGAAAATGTACCAGTGAGAGAGTCTGTGTGAAGTTAATGATGACCAGTTAACCAGTGAAGTGATCTACTTACCTGTTTGGAACCTGCCAGTCCTACCAGATGTGCTGTTCTGTCTTTTTTTTAACTGAGTTCCTGAACCCGTTTGATGTTTCTGTCTTATTAAAAAAATAAAATAATTCAAATATCTGAAACCTGTTTGGTTCTGGGCCTAAACCGGCCCACCGGACCCGCAGCACCACCTCCAGTCTCAGGTGAGCACAAACGGGCCAAACGTTCCAACAGAACTTCTAAAGAAGCGAGCTGGTCTCCCACAGCTGAACTGGGAGCTGAGACTGACCAGAACTTCTCTGCTGCGAAGGTCCAACACCAGGTTCTGGTTCTGCAGCCCTCATGGAAAAAATAAAAAAGTTCAGTTGGTTTGATTGTTTAGGAAGAGCTGGGCCCAACTGTTCTGATAAACACAGAACCAGAACAGACAGAACCCAAGAAATGCCGGGTCAGAACTGGTTGGGTTCAGTTTAGGGATTCCTTAGGTTCTGGTGTGAATCATCAGAACCTTTTGGAACAAATGGAACCAGCTTGTTCCTGAGGTCCTGGTTCTGATCCAGGTTACTCATCCCAAACTGAAAATCTGCTGCATGTTTCACCACATGAGCGCGCACGCGCACACTCATCAAGTTGGACTTCAGCTGGAACCAGAATCGGTTCTAACGGAACCAGAACCAGACAGTTAAAAACAACACGAGCACGCGCACACGCACTCAGCTGCGCGCTCCTACCTGACTCAGGATTTTCTCCATCTCCACGGGAGCGCGCGCTCAGGCACGCGATGGGCATCCGGTTCAGGACTTGGTCCCGCGCGCTCCGGTCCGATTCACGTCCCAACCCATGACGGTCGAACCGGGACAGAACCGACCAACAGATCCGCAACAGAAGGACAGACAGGTGAACCGAACAGAACCGGGCCGGGTTTGATCCAGCTGACACGGAGGCGCGGGCGGCTCTGACTCGGGTCTGTCCTGGTCCTAGTTCTGGTCAAGGTTTGTCCTGGTCCGGGCCCATCATGGTCCTGGATGTTGCGCTACAGGAACCGAAGAGAGGAGCAGCGCGTGCAGCCTGAGGAGGAGGAGAAGGAACGCGAGCCAATCACAAGAGGGAGGGGGTCCAGATCTCGGATCCAATCAGAACCAACCAGAACCAGTTGGTTCAGGTGATTCCTGGGTCATCCTCACCTGTGTCACTCCTGGGTTTATATCAGAACTGATCAATTATCAAAACAAAATATGACTGGATACAATTCATCACGTGACTGTGCTGAAATGAGTGGAGCTTCACCTGCATCCCCATCACCTGTCACACCTGTCCCTCAATTGTCATATGTCCCTTACCTGTGTCAAACCTGTCCCTCAACTGTCCCCCACTTGTCCTCCATCTGCCTCACACTTGTCATCTGTCCCTCATCTCTATTATTCTGCCTCTTACCCGTCCCTCGTTTGTTTCTCACCTGTTTTTTGCATATGACCTGCCTCACACCAGTCTTTTATTTGTCACCTGTCTCAACTGTCTCACACCTCTCTTATCTATCAATCACATGTTCCTCACTTGCCTCCCACCTGTCTCTTTTTTAGATCAGGCTGAGAAGGACTTGTACCGCTTGGCAAGACAGAAGGATCAGGCTGGAAAGGATGTGCAGCAGGTTAGGCTTGTTAAACATAGGAATGGTAATGTTCTAACAAGTGAGGAGAGTGTGATGGAAGATGGAAGGAGTACTTTGAGGAGCTAATGAATGAAGAGAATGAAAGAGAAAAAAAGAGTAGAGGACATAGAAACTATGGACCAGGAAGTGAGGAAGATTAGTGAGGGTGAAGTCCAGAAAGCTCCGAAAATAATGAAGAAGGAGAAGGCAGGACCTGATGACAAACCAGGCGCAGAGGTTAGAAAAGATGTGCCTGTGATCAGAAAGTCACAGGTTCGACTCCCGGTACCGTCAACATCAAAATGTGGGTGGAAAAGGTGAAACACCCACACCTGCCTCCACCATTTTTGCCCCACTCTGGGCCCCTGAGCAAGGCCCTTAACCCCCACCATCTGCTCCCTAAACAGGTCTCTCTTGAAAATGAGTTCTCATGGCTCAATGAGACTACCTGGATGAATAAAGGGTAAATGAAAAAAAAGGGGGGGGGGGGCGCTTTCTGGGTGGAGTTTGTATGTTCTCTCCGTGCTGCGTGGGTTTTCTCCAGGCACTCCGGTTTCCTCCCACGTACCAAAAACATGCATGTTAGACTGATTGGCAACTCTAAATTGTCCCGAGGTGAGAGAGAGACTGAATGGTTGTTTGTCTTGTTTGTCTCTATGTGTCCCTGTGATGGACTGGAGAACTGTTCACGTGTCCCCTGCCTCGCACACAGTGATGGCTGGATATGAGCGCCAGTGACCCCCGTAACCCGAAAAGGAAGAAGCAGGTAAAGATGATGGATGGATGGATGGATGGATGGATGGATGGATGGATGGATGGATGGATGGATGGATGGATGGATGGATGGATGGGATTTGGGTCGCAGAAGAGGGGGTTGGCTATTATAAGTGTATACTTCTTCCCACTCCTTTGAGTGTAGGAATATTTTATGTAAGTAGCTGTTTCTGTTATTTCTGTCGTTACGTTCTATAAAATAAGAAGGAAGGATTGTGTGTATCAGTGTGTGTATCAGTGTGTGTATCAGTGTGTGTATCAGTGTGTGTATCAGTGTGTGTATAAAAATTCAACTAAAATTCAGCAGCACAAACAGTGTTTCCATGAACAGATAAACACTGGGTCAGCAGAAACTTCACACTCATTATCTAAAAAAGTTAAATTTGGTCCTCTGGACATTCAAAAAACAAAACAAAGCAAAACAACCAAAAAAAATGTAAAAATGTTTCGTTTTTTTGAATGTCCAGAGGACCAGATTGAACTTTTTTTAGATTTGTCTACCTGGATTATTGAGCATGCATCAGGATATTTTGAATCACACTCATTATGTTACACCAAGCTGAAGGACAACCCACTGTTTGTGTGTGTGTGTGTGTGTGCGTGTGCGTGTGCGTGTGTGTGTGTGTGTGTGTGTGTGATGTAGCATCAGAAACAATGAAGTCCTCTCAGACTTTAATACCTTTTCAGACTTCCTGTATTGGACTTCAGGTGAGTTTAAAAGCTTCATGTTTCAGGACATAAAACTTGTCAGATCCCCAGATGGTTTAAAAAAAAAAAAAAAAGAAACTGAACGTCAGAAAAACAAAAACGGGCAACAGATTCCACCGTGTGGACGTTTAATGAACAATCACACACAACAGATTCCATCTGGTCAACGTTACTTGAACTGAAACACGCAACAGATTAAACAACAAAAACTTAACGTTGACGTCTGAGGGTGCGTTGTCTTGTTTATCTTTTGTAAAATCTGCCATCGGTTGTTGTCTTTAAATTCAGAACACGTGAACTTTTCTGTCCGTCGGTGCAGACAGCAGGAAGATAAAATGGCTCCAACTCAGGAAGCGACGAAGGATGAAGGCTGATAAATCCCATCATGCTCTGCTGCTCGGAGCAGCTCCACTCAGCTTGGATTACTTTGGTCCTGAATGTTGCTTCAGAAACTTTAGAAAGCTCTAATGGAGGGATGGAGAAGACCTGCTGACACCTGGTCTCACTGCACCTCTTCATCCTGAAATATCAGCCAGTCAGAGTGCAGAATCTGCTCCACACCTCTCAGGTAGCAGAGTGAAGGACAGTGAGAGCTACTGGCCTGTTTATATTCAGCCTCAGGAGGACACAGTGGTTCTGTTGTTCCACAGAGAAACTGCAGCTGGAACAGGCAGAGTGATGAAGATCATCCCCTCATCTTTACTGACGTTCAGAAACAAACTGATGCTTCTGCTCCGACACGTAAATGTCAAGAATCAGCACCTTTAACAACGCAGATCTGCTGAAATCTGGACTGGATCTGTGATCTAGAGACATTCAGTCCTGTTGGTGGGATCAATAATCCCAAGACCTTCAGTACTGTTGGTGGGATCTGTGATCCAGAGACCTTTAGTCCTGATGGTGGGATCTGTGATCCAGAAAACTTCAGTCCTGTTGGTGGATCTGTGATCCAGAGACATTCAGTCCTATTGGTGGGATCTGTGGTCCAGAGATCTTCACTAATGTTGGTGGATCTGTGATCCAGACACCTTCAGTCATGTTGGTGGATCTATGATGCAGAAACCTTCAGTCCTGTTGGTGGATCTGTGATCCAGAGACATTAAGTCCTGTTGGTGGATCTGTGATCCAGAGACATTCAGTCCTTTTGGTGGGATCTGCGATCCAGAGGCCTTCAGTCTTGTTGGTGGATCTGTGATCCAGAGACCTTCAGTCTTGTTGGTGGGATCTGTGATGGAGAGACCTTTAGTCCTGTTGCTGGGATCTGTGATCCAGAGAACTTCAGTCCTGTTGGTGGATATGTGATCCAGAGACATTCAGTCCTATTGGTGGGATATGTGATCCAGAGATCTTCACTAACGTTGGTGGATATGTGATCCAGAAACCTTCAGTCATGTTGGTGGATCTGTGATCCAGAGATCTTCAGTCCTGTTGGTGGGATCTATGATCCAGAAAACTTCAGTTTTGTTGGTGGGATCTATGATCCAGAAAACTTCAGTCCTGTTGGTGGGATCTCCAGATACCTTTAGTCCTGTTGGTGGGATCTCCAGATACCTTTAGTCCTGTTAGTGGGATCTGTGATCCAGAGACCTTCAGTCTTGTTGGTGGATCTGTGATCCAGAGACCTTCAGTCCTGATGGTGGATCTGTGATCTAGAGACATTCAGTCCTATTGGTGGGATCTGTGATCCAGAGACATTCAGTCCTATTGGTGGGATCTGTGATCCAGAGACCTTCAGTCCTGTTGGGTGGATCTGTGATCCAGAGACTTTCAGTCTTGTTGGTGGGATCTGTGATCCAGAGATCTTAAGTCCTGTTGGTGGGATCTCCAGAGACTTTTAGTCCTGTTGGTCCTAAATTCACTTCAGTGATTTCATTTTATGTCCATGAGTTGGACACTGTGTCCACTGTAAAGACTGGGTGTCACCTTCCTGCTGCCCTTGGGTCAATGTGACCCATGAGGCCTCTGTTTTAAACCAGTGGGCCATTTTGACCCAAGGGCAGCAGGGTTAGTATTTTCTGCATAGATAAATCATATGTTTATGTTGTTTATTGTCATATGCAGTTAACACGAGGTGAACAGTGCAATGAAATGTTCAGGATGAGAAGAACCGATTCGACTCACTAAAACAAACAAACAAACAAGAAGTACTAAAGCGTGCAATGAGGGTACAAAAGAAAGTACCAAAAAGTGAAAAAGAAAGATAATATTTACTATGTCCAAAAGAAAAATAGTAAACAACAACATGGTGAATATAACGGTGCAGGTAGGGTGAAGGTTGTTTTGGGTTTCCTGAGTTCTCCTTTAGTTCTGCTGCTTTGGGCTCAGTTTGGGCTCAGACAGCTGGTGGACAAACTGTCCACATGTCTTCACTCTGCTGTCTTTAGGTTGTGGTTCGGTTCTTGGTACCCGAGTTTTGTATTCTTCAGCACATTTCTAAAACTAAAAACTTATCCACCAGTTCTCTGATTTCTCATGAATAAACCAGTAAAGCAGCTAGTCATGATGCTGCCGCCACCGTGTGAGATGTGGAGCTGTGGGACTTCTCAATGAACTGAACCTTTTTATTTGTTACCTTCAGTGGTGATGAAAAAGGTTCTAGTGAGACTTTAGTGATGTTTTATTTTGAAAAGCAGCAGCTTCCTGTCTTTTCAGTCGGCTAACTGTAAAGCAGAATAAAATGCTGCTCATTGATTCGTCTCAGGTTTCAGCTGAAGCTTCGAGGTTTCTACTCTTCTGTTGCACGTTTTTACCTGAAAGTCCCACATTTTAACCTGCATGGTCCTGGTTCTGGTTCCAGTTTTAAGAAATGTTTAAAGAACCAGTTTGAGTTCGTTCCACAGAGTCTTGTGGTCAAGCATCTGCAGGTGATTCTGAATATGCAGATTTTAAACATGTTATTCTACAAACAGGTGCTTCTGCACATTTATCTGTTGCTCCTGCAGGATGTGAAGGATCGAGTTTCCTCAAAACAACAACCTCAAACTCGGAGCGTCTGCTGAAACCCACCTGTGTGCTGAGACCACCCACCCATACATCACCTGGACTTTATAAAAGACAGAGACGCCTGGTCAGACGCAGACAGAGGACACGTCTCTAACCTTCACTGATCTGCCTCTGACGGGTAAGTTCTGATTTTATAGCAGCCTTTATTATTCCCAGGTGTGTCCAGGTGTTTCAAATTAACCCAATGTGCAGAGAGGGAAATAATGATGTTAGTTTGACCACTTACTAAATCTATATGTCCCTAATTGTTACAGAAACTTTATTTTAATGGAATATGAACTAAAAATCCAGAAAAATCACAGTATTCCTCCCGCTTGCTGCTCTTGGGTCAGAGTGATCAGCAGGACAGCAGGGGGTTACTAAGTTACAGATTAAACTTCATTTCATGTAAACAAATGTTTGTTCTTTAAATAAAACACAACTTATTACCAGGTGTAGAAACATTTGTAGGTAAGATGTTTCTTGTACTTGGTCTCAAGGTCTTGAAGGATTTTGGTCCACTCCGTTTTACAGAAACTTTAAATCCTTCATATATCTTGGAAACTTCAACCTTCAGCCACTCTGCAGATGTTCCACGGAACTGAGGTCTGGAGACTCCGAGCTGTAATATTCTTTTATAGCCTCTCCTTTGTTGCTTTTGAGGCATGTGTTGGGTCAGCCACAAGGCACGGTCCCGTGAATTGGCTCATCAGTGTATTTATTTGGTACCCTTAGCAGAAAAAAAGACCCAAACCAAGACGCGTCCATGTTCGTGTTTGGTCCATGGGGTTCTTTGGGTCATAATCAGATTTATTTTCCTTCAAACATGGCAGGTTGAGCTTATTTCATCTGACCAGAACTTTCTTCAAAACTTTCTCTCAGTCATTTAAGTGTTGTCTGGCAAACTCCAAAACAGGTCTGTACCTGGACTTTCTTTACCAGGGTACTGGTCTATACCTGGTGTACTGGTCTTTGCCTGGGGTACTGGTCAGTACTTGGGTCTTCTTTACCCAGGGTACTGATCTGTACCTAGGGTACTGGTCTGTACCTAGGAACATACCAGTACGTGAAATGAGCTGAGCTTGTTGGTGTCTGATGGATTGATTCATTGGAAGATATTAAAAACTTATTTTACTCAGTGACTTGCAAATGGGCAGCACGGTGGCACTACTGGTAGAGCTGCTGCCTCTCAGCGAGCAGGTCCCTGGTTCAAATCTCGGTCCGGGGGCCTTTCTGGGTGGAGTTTGCATGTTCTTTCTGTGCATGCGTAGGTTTTCTCCGGGTACTCCAGTATCCTCCCATAGACCAAGACTGATTGGTAACTCTAAATTGTCCCTATGAGAGAGAGGGTGAATGGTTGTTTGTCTCGTTTGTCTTGTTTTTGACCCAAAATGGAAGAAGTGGGCAAAAGATAATGGATGGATGGACTTGCAAATCAAACTACAACTTTTCTGAAGTGTTTTTTGTCCTCCGTATTTAAAAAAAAATATTATTTTTCTTTCCAGTAAAATTAAACTACTGTAAAACTGGAGATGTTTGGTTTCTCTGTCAGTGAGTAAATCTTTTAAAATCAGCAGGAGATCCCAGGGTTTTTCTTCCCCCTGTATGAGATGTTCTGCTGATCTGGTTCCAGCTCTGACAATGTTCGTCTCTCGTTGGTTTCGTCTTGTCCTGCACGATGTCCTCGCTCCGTCCTGCTTACATCACTTCCTGCTGGAGTTTGTAGGCACCGCCCTCTTCCTGTTGGCCAGCCTATCTGCTGTCCTGATAAGACCCAACCTGAGATCAGCTGTCAGTCTGACCAATCAGAGCTGCCCGTCTTTGGGCGAATCAGAACTTGTACCTGCATGTCCTCTGCATGTGGTCCTGGTCTTCGGTCTTTCTGTTGCCATGGCAGCGCTCTGTGTGGGTGGGGCACCTCACCTGAACCCAGCGGTTTCCATAGCAATGGCTTTGACCCTGAGGCTCCGCCTGTGGAGGGCTGCACTGTACATGATTGGTCAGCTGTTGGGGGGCGTGGCCTCTGCAGGGCTGCTGATGGGCCTGACCAGAGACATGACGCCCGCTCTAAACCAGGTGAGTGTCACTCTGAATCATGAAAGCCAAGCAGGGTGCAGTTTGTTCATGTTTGTGTTCAGGTGTCTTCAGGAGTTCAGCTGCACCAGGCAGTTACCGTGGAAACGCTCGTCACCCTCCAGCTGGTCCTGGTTGTCCTGAGGACCACAGACGTCTCTCTGCCGGCAGCAGCACCTCCTCTGTTGGTCGGTCTGGCTGTCAGTCTGGGTCACCTGGTGGCTGTAAGTCCCGCCCAACATTCAGTAAGTAGAACATCAAACAGGTGAGCAGCACACCTGTGACCCGTGTGTTCTCTCTCAGGTGGGGGCCACAGGTTGTGGGATGAACCCAGCTCGGTCATTTGGCCCAGCTGTCGTCACACTGGACTTCAGAAACCACTGGGTCAGTACACACACACACACACACACACACAGATAGAGAACTTCTTGGCTTTTATGTATGTGAATGTTCCTGTAAAATGCCTGAGACAACTTTGTTGTGATTTGGCACTATATAAATAAACTGAATTGAATTGAATTAATTCTTCTACAGGTGTTCTGGGCGGGGCCTGCTCTGGGGGCGTGCCTTGCTGCCCTCCTGAATGACCTGTTGCTGCGGCCGCGCTGGCGTTGCCCCAAAGACTGGTGGGTGGAGCTAAAGCAGCTGTATGAACTGACCGACAAGCAGCAGGAGGGGGCACTGTCACAGCTGCCGTAACATCCCCTGACCAAACCCATCTATGATGTCATCAGGTGATGTCATCATGGTACTTGTTGCTGTTCAACACCTGATCACAGTTTGTTTAAAAGGTTCTGATGGTAAAAACTGATTCTCATCAATAAAATCCATCTCCTGCGGGTTTTTTTTTTATCTACGACCTTTGACCTTTGACCTCAACCATGCCTCACATCAGCACTGGAAAAACACCACGACTCATGGACTTGGTTCTAATGGGTTTGGAGTTTCACATTTTGATACACCTGAACTCATCACTGACAGGAAACTACAAAATAAATGCTCAGAGATTGACAGGAAACCGCACCTCGGACACACACAGACAAGTGAGGATGATGATGTGTGTTTGTCTACAAAACCTGACCTGAGACATTCTGCCACTATGACGTCATCAGTGAACCGGTAAAGGTCCATTCGAGTTCAATGTAATATATTTTCCAAGGCTTCTAAGAATTAATAAAAAGTTAGACTGATTGTTACTCTAAATTGTCCCTAGGTGAGAGTGAGAGAGTGAATGGTTGTTTGCCTCCATGTTGCCCTGTGATGAACTGGAAACCTGTCCAGGGTGTCCCCTGCCTCTCGCACAGTGACAGCTGGACATGGGTACCAGTGACCCCCATGACCCAAAAAGGAAGAAGCGGGTAAAGATAATGGGTGGGACACCTGGAGACAAACAAGACAAACAACCATTCTCTTTCTCTCTCTCTCTCTCTCTCTCTTTCCGTTCAGACGCTTTTATCCATGCATGATCTGGTTATTTTGGTTCTGATCCAGACCTCATGTCCACAGGTGAGGCTTGGAATGAAGACAGACCAATAAATCAAGAGCTTTGCCTTTAGACTCAACTCTATTTACACCACAACTGACTGAAGCAACAGCCTCATTACTGAAAACAAATCCCCAATCCGTCAATCCATCTCTTGCTCCATCCTACCACCACTTGTGAACATGATGCTGTAGCATGAAGATGCGCTCCCCTTACTTTGACCTCTGACCCTTGGGTTGTCTTCCAGACTCACCATGAACTGTGTTCTTTAAAGTTGCTTTAAACTTGAATAATGTCTGATGTTTTCACACATTCACTGTCCTTGGACTGAGTCAGCCACAGTCTGACTCATGTTTACCTTTATTTTTTGTTTTTAAGAAAAAAAAAAAAATTGTTAATGAATTTTGTTTTATTTGATTAGAACAGGTGTACACGTGAATAATGCTGATTATTGTTTCCAATCATTATAATGAAATCATGTGAAATATATGTGTTTAACATATTTCTCTGTTCTGTGTTTCATAAAAACAGCTTTTCCTTGAGAGACACTTCTTTGAGCTGGATCTGTTTACTTCAGAGGGGAGTCATGACATCTGAGAGATTCCTAAAACGCTTCTGAGAGCTGATGGCTCACACAAAGTTTTTTTGTTCGTCTTGGTCCCCGATCCTGATGCAGTCTGTCTGATGTCCGTCTCCGTTAATTCCTGAGCAAATAAACATGATTGCTCAGTTACACTTTTTGTTAGAAGCAAAGTAGAAGTTTTAAGCAACTACCAGGATGGAGCATTTTTTCTCACTGTGAAACTCACATTTTCAGCTTTAAGTGTAAGCCGGCTGAAGGTTGCCGATCTTCTCAGCTGTCGTCCTCACGACCCCTGAAGCGGTAGTGACTTTCAGCTACCTTGGGCAGTTCCTGGCTAGTTCTCCTCATGGTGTCCTGGTCTGATCCACCAGCAGAACCCTGCAAAGATGAGTGAACTGGTGCCCTCAAACTGACCCGGTAAGGAGCTGAGACCTGGTGACATGATGCAACTCTGGGTCTGGTTATGACATTTTAGCTGATGCAGCTTGATCAATCATTCTCTGGCTTGCAGTGATAATACATGACTTGATCAAATCACATTAAATAACTTCTCTCAACCAAAATCCAAAGCAAACTATTGATCAAATAGTCAAACTTTGTCTAAATTTGTGCGCAAGTAAAAGCTAAAATAATTCCTGCTCAAAGAGTTAATTTTGCCTTAGATAAAAGTGAATTAATCCTTTATTGTTTAAATTGTTCATATTGATTTATTACTTTTATAACCAGTCATTCTACAAATTATTATCCTTTATCACTTATGTTGTTTGTTTGTTATTGTTGTTGATTCTTAGTTTGATTCATTATTTTTGTAATAAAACTTCAAAGACAACTTTGGTATCTTCATTTGGATGAATGTTCATTTGTTATATATGGGACTCCCTGTAATTAATGGATTCTACTTCAGCGACTGAGTTCTGATTATTAAAGGGTGAATATATTCATTAAGTTCTTGTTGGTCAATAAAGGACCAGCTGGTTCCCCCCTTTAATGAGTGCTAAACAAATAAACAAGTGTATTGAAGTGAGGAGCGAGTGTCACCCTTCTTAAACGCTACAATGCTCAGATACTTGAGCTCCTCCACCTGAGGCAACAACTCAGCTTCTGGAAACCACATCCGCCATCTGCGGTCCTGCACGTGGTCCATTTGAATTCCATGTGTCCGACCTCTCTGGGACACGAGGAGAACTCTGCTGGAGGTGTGAGTTGAAGGTCGCACCAACATGGGGCTCCACCAGACGTTCCCAGTTCATCTTTCTGTGTTTGGGTTTTCCAAGTATGACCAGCTTCCTCCCCCAACACTGGATCCAGCTCACCACCAGGGAGTGATCAGTTCACAGCTGTCACTCTTCACCAGAGTGTCATAGGGCTGCAGGTCAGATGACACAATTACAAAATCAATCATCGACCTTTGACCTGAGGTGGCCTGGTACCAAATACACGTATGAACCGTGCTGTGCTCAAACGTGTGGCACTTTGCCACTGTCTCAACTCTCCGCACCTCACCGCACCAGTTAAGGGCCCGCCCACTGCCGGTACACACCCCAGATCAGCAGCTACTTAGTACCATTTTCCAACACAGAAGTCCAGAAACCATCTTGAGGACTCAGTGTGACGTCTCCCTTCCTGTCTTTCATGTCTGGTCGGTCGTAAAGAACAGCTGCAGATGTCGATCGTGCTTCAAACGCGTCCTGTCCTCCAGGTTCTCCACAGGATCCACCAGCTGGTGTCTGCTCAGATGTGATGTTGTCAGGTGGGGCTCCAGGTGAGTCTGACAGTAGGAGGCCAGACACACCAGGCAGGACTTCAGGGCCTTCAGTTTGGGTCCAGTGCAGACGTCACAGGGAACTTCTCCTGGTCCTGCAGCTTGTTGCTCTGAGCTGCTGCTGATTTTCTGCTGAGCTTCATGTCTGAAATGAGCGACCATCTCTTTGATGAAGGTGTTGACTCTGAGCTGAGGCCTCGAGGAGTCTGCTCTGACTCAGAAACACTTTCAGTCTCAGGTTAAACCTCGTTCCTACTTGTTCAGAGAGGATCATGACATCATCTGACACATGATGAGTCTAAAATGTTCAGACCTTTTAGTGCCTTTATTCTTCTTCTTCAGCTGAGCTCATTTCTTGGTGGTAATTCTGCTGGTCTCTGCTGGACAGAAACAGGAAGCACATCAAATTTACAACATGCAGACATGAACACTGTTTAGACTGAGGAGTGTACTTCAACAAACCAGAGGGAGCCATGAGTATTTCTGGACCATAATGCCTCACAAAGCACCGACACTGAGCCTGAGCAACATGGTGAGCAGAAAGGTCCATGTTGTCAGGAGCCATGTGAGGCAGCTCAGGCGTTAAACACTGCCAGAGGCAGGGTCACACCATACACACCTGATAAGAAAACAAATGCCCAAACTCGCCTTTTGAGCCAAATGTTTCAGAATCAGAATCAGTTTATTATCGCCATGTCAATGAAGGAGGTTCACAAACTAGGAATTTGCTTCGACATAAGGTGCGAATAGTAATAAAGTAAAATAAAGTAAAAATAAAGTAAAAATTAAGTAAAAATGAGAACATTACATAAGACATAAGACCTGTGTACACCCACAAATAAAGTAAAATTTAAAACATAACATAACCATATGTACACCCATACAATAGAAAACAATAAAAAAGCTTAGAGAACAGTACAGATGGAGTGTTCAATTATAATACAGATGTAATGTGACCAAAGCAGAAGTTATGAGGTAGCATTATGAGTGTTCAGGAGTCCAACAGCAGAGGGGAAGAAACTGTTCTTATGGCGGGAGGTTCTGGTCCGAATGGACCGAAGCCTCCTGCCTGAGGGTGTGGTTCAAACAGTCCGTATGCAGGGTGAGCAGGGTCAGCTGTGATCCGACCTGCTCGCCTCACAGTCCTGGAGACGTACAGGTCGTGGAGGGATGGAAGGCTGCAGCCGATCACCTTCTCAGCTGAGCGCACAACGCGCTGCAGTCTGAGTCTGTCCCTGGCAGTGGCCCCGGCGTACCACACCGTGATGGAGGAGCTGAGGATGGACTCGATGATGGCCGTGTAGAACTGCACCATCAGCTTGGCCGGCAGCTTGGCCTTCTTCAGCTGTCGCAGGAAGTACAGTCTCTGCTGGGCCTTCTTGATGAGGGAGCTGATGGTCGGCTCCCACTTGAGGTCTTGGGTGATGGTGGTGCCGAGGAACCGATAAGAGTTTGCAGTGGTGATGGAGGTATCCTTACAGGTGAGGGGGGGCAGAGGGGCTGTGGCTTTCCTGAAATCCACAATCATCTCCACTGTCTTCTGGGCATTGAGTTCCAGGTTGTTGCTGCTGCACCAGGTCACCAGCCGGTCCACCTCCCTCCTGTATGCAGACTCATCACCGTCCGAGATGAGCCCGATGAGGGTGGTGTCATCTGCAAACTTAATAAGTTTCACAGAGTCATGGCTGGAGGTGCACTATTATTACTATTATTACTACTATTCACTATTAATTGTTGTAATTGTTGGAAAATTGCACTTCAAAAATATGTGTTTTGTTTTATAGGTGGGCAGAATTCCATATTAGCTCATTGAAAATTTACCTTTTAAGTTTTTATCTTTCAGAACATTGCTCATACGTCAAAAAATGTTAAGCTAAGTTGTTAAATTACTCGTCATTGCACCCCTTAGACAAATGTATGCCTTCCAGGAAGATCAGTATTTAATTTCCTTTAAAAAACAAACAAACAACAGATTAACAAATGACACATGGAGCAACACATTCAGGCTCCGGGGAATCCAAACTGATTCAACATTAAATTCAATCATTGGTGTTCAAAACATCCAAGATCTTTACCCGTTACTTCCTTTTTGGGTCGCTGGTGTCTATCTCAGCTGTCACTGTGCAAGAGGCGGAGGAACACCGTGGACATGTCTCAGTCCAGAGACACCTGGACAGGTCTCCAGTCCATCACAGAGACACCTAGGGACAATTTAGAGTTACCAATCAGTCTAACATGCATGTTTTTGGTCTGTGGGAGGAAACCGGAGTACCTGGAGAAAACCCCCGCAGCACAAAGAGAACATGAAAACTCCACCAATGCAACAAAATAAACAAATTTAAAAGGTAACAAATCATTGTAATACTTGGTTTATTTACAGAATGACTTTAATCGCTGGATGTCCAGCCCCTGAACTACTGGCTTTCAGAAACTGTGCCCCCCTGAGCAGTTTAATCGAATAGCTCTGATTTAGAGGGTGGAATACATTTATTCCATTTCCAAAACCTAAACTGAGTCTGGAAAAATGTAAAAGATGATAAAGGCCTGCAGCCGACCTCGTGATCAGCTGAATACAACAATGATAAACAGGACGTACCACATGTTCTTCTGTACGAAGATACCTGCAGGTAAATCCTCCATTTTCTGTCATAATTACATTGCATGATTAATAGTTAAATTAAAGGTTAATGCTTAAAGCTAGCTGTGCTTTGTTTTCCGTGTTTCAAATGTAGATATATGTTGTAACTTCTGGTTGCAACAGTTTAGTCTTTGTTATGATCAGTTAAACTGATTTTGTACAAAGTGTTTATTAGGCTGTGCAATGTGAAGTGGAGTGCTATGTCTGTAGCATCTTAGCTAGCTCATATGTGTTGCATGCTGCTAGCTTAGTGCTTCTTCTTGTTGCTCTCTAAAATAGTTATTGAATCAAGTGTTCACTTATGTAGGTAAAAAAACTAGATGTTTAATAACCCGTTAAAGTACACTAGACTGCAGGAAATGACATCTACTTTATTCAAAATTAAGTGGTAATTAGGTGATAATTAATTAATTAAGAATTACGTGTTATTCAACCCCCCCCACCCCACCACCACCACCACCACCACCACCATTGTGTCCCCCCCACACACACACATTATGAATGCTTCTGACGTCAATGGCCACCATGTTGTTCAAGCCAAGAGCCACTGGGGCTATGCACCCCTAAAGTCAGATTCTAGAATTGCCCCTGGTAAGTAAGTAAATTTTATTTATATCACTTTATATCACTTTTCATAGATAAAAAGCACAAAGTGCTTTACAGAAATACAGATACAGGTTTAACATAAAACAGGGACATTAAGAACAGTAACAAGAAATTGAAAAGTTTATGGGAACAAAACAAACATTTGGTTTACTTGTTTCTACTCTTCAATGCATCTCCACTCTGACCTTTGAATGTTACATCGGCCGTTTCAGTCTTTTAAGGTTTATAATAAGATTTTGAATACTTTTACTTTCAGTTCTTACCAGTCGGAGTGTTGTGACCAAGATACATGCTTTATTGAATTTAAAACACTAAAAAAGACGAGTGATTTAATTATATGGTAAAACAGCCTGCCATATAGGTGTTAACTCAAGTGAGCTAACGGGCAGATTTGAACACAGTGGACACAGTTTCCATCCATTTTCTTTACCCGCTTCTTCCATTTTGGGTCACAGGGGTCGCCGGTGCCCATGTCCAACTATCACTGTGCAAGGGGCGGGGTACACCCTGGACGGGTCGCAAGTCCATCACAGGGCCACAAAGAGACAAACGAGACAAACAACCATTCACTCTCTCACTCACACCTAGGGACAATTTAGAGTTACCAATCAGCCTAACATGCATGTTTTTTTGTCTGTGGGAGGAAACCGGAGTACCCGGAGAAAACCCACGCATGCACGGAGAGAACATGCAAACTCCACCCAGAAAGGCCCCTGGACTGGGGTTTGAACCAAGGACCTGCTCGCTGAGAGGCAGCAGCTCTACCAGTTGCACCACCGTGCTGCCCGTGGACACACTTTGCTTAACTTAATTTGAATGTACACGTCATTCTGACTCCACCCCCTTCACACTGATTGGATGACTGGGACCTCCTCTGAGGAGGATTAGCAGGCAGGAAGGGTCCACAGCCTGTGAGACAAAGCTGAGGGAGTTAAAACCTGAAGGCCTGTGAGTGAGGATGAGGAGGATTAGTGCAGATTACAGAACAGTTTATAACAGAAGAGTAGAAGAAGCGAGCAGGACAGATACACTCACTCACTAATTGGACCCAGCAGGACCAGCCTGTCAGAACCGGCTCTAACTGAGGAGGAGAGTCAAACTTCTGGGAGCTGGTCTGGGGTCAGCGGGCGGTCTGGATGGACGGGCTCCAGGCGTATGGGGCGGGGAAGGCCGGGGGTGCCTTCGACCCTCTGACCTTCTTCAGGCAGCCTCAGACCGTGCTGAGGATCTTCTGCTGGGTCAGTGTCAGGATTATGACCTTCTTGTGACTGCTCATGTTTCTCCAGACCAGGTTAACTCCGTTTGTTCAGGGTTGAAGTTTAGATAAAGTTTTAATCGTATTAATTCGTGTATAAGAACTGTTTTTGTCTTCTCATGTTTTTCACCTCATCTTTTATTTCTGGCAGTTTAAATCAGCACAGTCCTTATTTATTACACATGGTCTGGTTTTTTTTTATTTTATCTTCAATAATAGTAATAATATTTGTCTAATATTTGATTTCCTATCCACAGTCCAAAAAAAAAAGTTCAATACAAAAACAACTGGACTTTATTTGTAACAGAAGATGTTTCGCTCCTCATCCGTGGAGCTTTCTCAATTCAAAGAGCAGTGAGTGAGGGGTTCAGGTTATAAGGCTGAGTGAGATAAGATACATATACATATGCAGATTGACAATTCACACCTCAACACCTTAACAGTAGGGGTTCAGTCCAGTTGTTTTTGTATTGAACATTTTTTGAATTTATCATGTCCTGGATGACTGAGAATCTTCACCAGCCTATCCACAGTCCTTCAAGATAAAACTTTGAATGATTACATAAATTGTCCAGGTCTTGGTTTGTTCATGAGCATCAGTGAATAGTCGTGACTTTATGCCTGCACCGCCGAGAGACCATGGTCAGGATTCAGTTTTTGAATTAAAACACCAGAAAAGTCAGCATTCAGCCCTGCTTTACGCCGCTTTTCACCTCAAACATCTCAGAGCCCCGTCAGGTCCTGGAGATAGCAGGTCCAGGAGGGAAACCCAGACCTCCTTCAAGTCTTTTAAGTGACCCTCTGCAGATCGTGTAGTGGTAGGACCCAGTTCTGGTTCTGGTTTGTCTGTCAGCTGTGAGTGTGATCGGGTCATGAGACCAGCCGAAACATTCCTGATGCTCAGCTGCAGACTCTCCAAACAACAGCTCGTTGTTTGACTGCGGCTGCTCTGACTGGACTCCACGATGATCCCGATCGGGTCACAAAACAAACATCAGCAGAACTCTAGAAGGTCAGGTACCTGAATATGAGCTCAACCTAACAACAAACAAACAAACAAACAAACTGAAGGGGTTTGGTTGGAATGTAGATTAAAACTGATAAGATGAATAAAATACAGTAAATCTAGTTTTTCGTCACATGACATCATATGACTGCAAAGCTTCAGTCAGAGGTCGTGACTGTGCTCACATGATCATCAGCAGGCTTGCTTAGCAGCAGAAGATGAACAAAGTGTGGATGAAACTCTGGAGCAAAGACTTCTGGGAAACAGTTCTCCTCACCGGCTGTAACAATCAGGAAATAAAAACCAAAAGTTCAAAAACTGGACATCAGTGGAGCAGTTGGAAACATTCAGCCAGCTGCTCGCAGATACATGTAGTCCACCTCTGGCACCAACTTACCAAAGATCTCTATCAGAAGAGACGTTAAAGAATTATATCGTCCAAACTTGAGACATCTTTAACTTCAGTCACTGATTACAGTACTGCCCGAAGGTGCCTTCCCCTGCCTCCTCCTCTTATTCCTTGTCGGGGGCTCCAGCTAATCCAGCATCCAGCCCTCCACAGATCCTCCTTCATCCATCAACCTTCTGTGGTCTTCCTCTTCTCCACCTCTCTGCCTACTCCATAGTCATCCTTATTTGTCCAAAACACCTACAATCCCTCCTCTGCACATGTCCAAACCATACTATCCTTTTGTGTCAAACTTTGCCTCCAAATCTGAGCTGTCCCTCTGAGGGACACAAAACCTGAAGATCTGTCATGAATCAGGGTTTTTGGATTCAGAATCACCCAGACACCAAGAGTGAAACAAACAAAACAACTTTATTGATATATATACAGTAGCTGCTGGAGAGAGTAGGATCCAGCTGCAGTGACAGATCCTCACAGGCAGGAGGGAGAGAGACACCTGTCAGAGTTTCAAAAGCAGGTGAGGTGGGGGCCACCTGTTGCAGTTGGGTAGGATGACGTCACCGTCACTGGGTGAGACGCAGCTGCACGGCAGAGCTGAGGAGAGTTTGGTCGGAGGTGAAAATCCCAGAACAAAGTCCAGAAATGCAGGCGGGGGTCATACACAGGGAGTCAGAGTTTCAATAATGAATCCAAAAGTATAATCCGTGCATCGTAGTCGTTGGTTCAGAAGATGAGGTCGTTACCGTGATCAGAAAGGCAAATCCATACAGAGAGCAGGCAGGTCGGGTTTCCAAAAGGCAGGCGTGACGTCAAGAAGAGATTATCAAAACTAGGCGGGAACATGAACAAGAATGGCTGGATATCAGGAACCATGAATGGTGTGATAATCTGGCAGGGAATGAGAGTGGACATGGATCTTAAGGCAGGTAGCCGGTGTCTGGCATGAGTGCTGATTAGGCTGAGCATGGAGAGTGGGCGTAGTTAGAAGACATGAACAGAAACATGACATGAGGGACTGTGAGTGAGGCAGGGGACAGAGGACATGGTCTTGACAATATCTTCATCTCTGCCACCTCCAACTGCTCCTGTCTTTTTGTTAGAGCCACCATTTCCAAACAAAAGTTATTCAGATCAAATGGCTTCACTGCTACACACTGTTAACACCTATCCTCTTGTCACCTAGCCTGTTACCGCCTAGCTTGTGAGCACTTAGCCTGTTAATAGCTAGCCTGTTAGCACCTATCCTGTTGTCAACTAGTCTGTTGGAACCTACCTTATTAACACCTACCCTGTTGGCGCCTAGCCTGTTAGCACCTAGCCTGTTAGCACCTAGCTTGTTGGCACCTAGCCTGTTGGTGCCTAACCTGTTAGTACCTAGCCTGTTGGCATCTAGTCTGTTAGCACCTAGCCTGTTGGCACCTAGTCTGTGAGCACCTAGCCTGTTGGCACCTAGTATGTTGGCACCTAGCCTGTTAGCAAGTAGCTTGTTGGCACCTAGTCTGTTAGCAAGTAGCTTGGTGGCACCTAGCCTGATAGCACCTAGCCTGTTGGTACCTAGCCAGTTGGCACCTAGCCTGTTAGCACCCAGTCTGTTTGCACCTATCCTGTTAGCACCTAGCTTGTTGCACCTAGCCTGTTAGCACCTAACCTGTTGGCACCTAGCCTGTTAACACCTAGCCTGTTAGCACCTAGCCTGTTAGCACCTAGCCTGTTGGCACCTAGCTTGTTGGCACCTAGTCTATTAGCACCTAGCTTGTTAGCATCTAGACTCTTTTCACCTAGCCTGTTGGCATGGCGATAACTCCTTCCTTTTTGTCTCCAGCTCTTCTCCATTGTGGTCCTGGGCTGTATTGCCAATGAAGGTTATGTCAACCGGCCTGAGACGGTGGAGGAGTATTGCATCTTCAACCAAAACCAGAACGCCTGTAACTATGCCGTTGCCGTGGGAATGCTGTGTTTCCTCTGCAGTGCTGGTTTCCTGGCGTTGGATGTTTATTTTCCTCAGATCAGCGGAGTGAAGGACAGGAAAAAGGCCGTCATGGCCGACATTGGGGTGTCAGGTGAGACTCACCATGCCCTTGCTTTGTCACTTACCTATTCAAGCATCAAGCCCTACATGCAACATGTGTTTCTCATGCTTGCGCAGCTCTCTGGTCTCTCGTCTGGTTTGTGGGGTTCTGTTTTCTGGCCAATCAGTGGCAGGTCTCTAAACCTGAGGACAACCCTCTGAATGAAGGCGCTGACGCTGCCAGAGCCACCATCGTCTTCTGCTTCTTCTCTGTCTTCACCTGGGTACGTACTGCTGCAACATTCAGGTCCTGCGAACAGACATTTCACTCAGAGACACTCTGAGTTCTCATGTTTGATCTAAAGTTAAACACCTGAGCTCAGCAGCATGTTCCACACCTGTCCAGCATTCAAGACTACATCTGATGTGTGTCTTTTGTTTCTGTGTGTGTTATGGATTCTGTGGGTTTTTGTTGTGTTACATGTTGTATGATGTACTACACATTGGTGTGTTGTGTGTTGTGTGTAGGGAGGTCTCGCCCTGCTGTCGTTTGAGCGTCTGAAGAAAGTCTCTTTTGAAGAAGAATACAACAAACTCTTCACCCCTCCTCTTGCCTAAAACACAAATGCACCTTAACCTCACCTTTCTCCTGCAGCCAATCAGAGAAGAGGGCTTTCTCCAACCCATTCCCTCTGATCGGCCGCTCTGAGTGCCTGTCAACCAAAGTGCCTTCTCGTTTCCATGGTAACAGAGGGATGCTGGATACTCAACATTCAGCTTGAATGATTTCACAGATCATTGAAACCACAAGTTTGAATTGATTGAGTATTCTCTGCTGTACACAGCATCAGGTTGTGTGTTATGTAATTATTGCTCCATGAGAAAACAACGGTTCAAATAAATCATCTGCAACCACAGCTGTCACCTGGTTAACCTGCTGCGTTCACACCTGCACAGGTGGCGTCCATCGTTTGTGACTCTGTAATGCCCGATGCCTGCTTTGTCCTGTGTTCTGATGGAAGATGATGTTGTAACGGATTAAATGCGTGAACGTGATACTGCAACACCTTTAAAGTTCTGATGTAGATCCCCTGAGCACACCGCCAGTCAAATATCAGGCAGGAAGTCAGTAGAAGAGCAGAATTTCTCTTTTAATCAAGTCCCTTATTTTTTATACGCCTGGTCGAAAGGCAGACATATATACATAGGTCCAAAAACTTTCTTCTGTCCCGCCTAAGACGGCTGATCAGCTCAAGATAATTTAATGAAACTTCATACACACATGCATCATCTCTAGACCTAGTGTCATGTTCATGACTCATCACCCCAGCTCAGAGGTCAAGGTCTAAAATCAAGGTCAAAGTTAAAACTAAACATTCGCTTGTTCGGACCATAACTTCTGATACGTTCGAGTTGATTTAATGAAACTTGAAGCAGATTTGTACCATTGCTAGATAGTGTGTTGCTTCAGATTTCCATCACCCCAGCTTCAAGGTCAAGGTCACAAATCAAGGTCAATGGGTATTCAATGTCTTTACTCGTCCAGACCATTTCTTTAGATATATGTATAAAATGTAGCTGTATAACGTGTCGTATGTGTTACTCTTGTTAAATAATGGACCTGTTAGAAATAGTAGATTAGACCCTTTAATCAACATTCATTGTTATGTTGATGATACACAGTTATATTTGTCCATGAAACACAATGAATCCAGTCAGCTACTTAGACTACAAGCTTGTTGCCTTCATGCTTGCTCAAGATGAGAGTTCTGCAATAGAGTTAAATTCAAAGCAGTCTGCTCCTCCGATAAATAATGTTAAATTATTATTTTTATATATGAATGTTTGTGTTCAGTGCCCTGAGATGACTTATGTTGTGACTTGGCGCTATATAAATAAACTGAATTGAATTGAAATTCTCTGTCAACAAAAACTCGTGATTTCTTCTGTCGTTGATTCAGCTCTGAGAGATACAACTCCTTTCCTCCTACTCAGACAGTCCAGTTAGTCAACCTGTACCAGGGCTCAGGGATACCTGCAGGCTTACCAGACCTGTAGGATTTAAATAAAAATAAAAACCCAAGTGAAGTGAGGTATGAGGTCCGCGAGTGGACGAAGACTGCGCTAACGATCCATGGATCTCCAGGGAGTTCTGAACTTCCTTAATCTCTCCTCTCTGAAGCTAACCCAAGAGGGAGGCTACCTAAAACCACTTTTCATCTCTTTTTGCGTGTTCCCCCTCCGGTGTCCTGGCAGAGAACCAGTAGAGTCAAAATTTTGAGTTATCTCCCCAAAGACACAAAAAGGAGGCCAGGAGTTGAGGTCAAAGGTCAACTACTCTCAGATAGACTTTGTTAAAAACAAAAATGTGCAGGAGAAGTTCATCTTGCTCTAAAGGTAAATAAAAACAAAAGCAAGCTTCGTCTCTGCAGTCACATGAGCATTATTCATACAACCCCAAAGGTGTCTCTCTGTCTCCAGCAGGGGAGACAGATCAGGTCCGTGCACCAATCAGAACCAAGCCCCGGGAGCCTGGGAGCTCAAACAGGAGGGCCCCTTTCGATCCTATCTGTGAGCTTTTACAGCTGTTATGTAAGAACAAAGAATGTGGAACTAGGTCCCACGCTCCTGGGCCTCTTCTTATCTGGATTCTGGGTCTTCATTGGGGTCTGCTGCAGGTTGAAGATGTTCTTCTTCCACATCTTCCTCCTTCCAACAGGAACCTCACTGTCTGAGCAACGGATCCACGGCCCCAAGGCCTCCAGGTATTAAACTGTGAATTTTGTGAATTTGAGTCTCCACTGTATAATTTTTATAACATGATGCTTTCAGCAGGACCTGGGATGTTTTCTTCAGGACCACCACGGGTCCCTGTTCCCCCATCAGTGGTCTCAGAGTTCTGTCCACAAACTGTGTGTGAAGCTCAGAATTCAACAAAAACAAAAGACATCATCATGCATGTTGTTATGAAACCACCAGCCTGAACCGAAATACTGTCCTGTGGTCTGCTTTGAGACCCGGGTCCAACACACTGCTGCTGGTCGGCTCCTTCAGAACCTCAACCATCCAACACCAGGTGCCCCCACCCAGCTCACCTGAGGTTCAAACCCACCTGTTGCTCATCCTCCAATCTTCCCCAAGTATCTGACCGAATGAAGCTCAGGCCCAGGTCCAGTTCTTTATCCTGGTCTGATCCTGGTTGGATGTCAGGGGTCTCCTACTCCAGTTTTAAGGGCCCCGCTGTCCTGAAAGATTTAATATGTTACCCTGCTTTAACTCACCTCATTTCAATGACTGAAGAACACCTCAGCAGGTCAACAAGTTCTGCAAAAACTCGTTGACCCGTTCATTTTAAACAAGGAGTGTTGGAGCAGAGAAACATCTAAAACCTGCAGGACAACGGGATCCAGGGAACCGGGGGTTGGGGACGTAAGCATCATGTGATCTTGGTCCTGAGTTTGCACCTTGGTTTGGTTCCTGTTCTAGTCTTGGTTCATTGCCAAGTTCTCACCATGTAGCCTTCTCATTAGCATCTCTTCAGGAACATTCTCATGAATCTTTCCAAAAACCCAGAACAGTTTCACACACTAAGACCAGTTTCTGTAGAACTTCTCTCCTTTCCTTTCAGTGTTTCCATTTGACTCTTTAAGTCCAAGAACTTCCAACCATTTGACAGCAGCTTTTAGTCTAATGATCATCTGCTGATGGTCCAGTAACAACCACTGGGCTCAGATTATCCCTGAATGGTCTGGGTTGGACTCAAATAAGTCCTGAATGGTCCGGTCGGAAACATCTTTGTTGAATGTTTCTTTTGTGCAAACGTTTTGTCCATCACCTGAAGATCATCTGAGCAAACGAGTTCTACTTCCTATTCTGCTACTGCTCTTTGTTCTACTTCTTCTTTTAGACCTGGTTCTCCAATTTTGACCACAGTAAGCCATCCCGGTAACGTGTTCTCTCTGACATGCTAACTAGCCTGGGTTCTTTCTGATGTATTAACATCTTCTATGTGGGATGTTCTTCACATGTTCTCTCTGACCCTAACAGTTCTTCACATGTACTCTCTGACCCTAACAGTTCTTCACATGTACTCTCTGACACTAACAGTTCTTCATGTGTTCTCTCTGACACTAACAGTTCTTCACCTGTTCTCTCTGACCCTAACAGTTCTTCATGTGTTCTCTCTGGCTCTAACAGTTGTTTATATGTATTCTCTGACATGCTAACCATTCTGGGTTCTTTCTGACGTGTTAACATCTTTTATGTATGATGTTCTTCATGTGTTCTCTCTGACACTAACAGTTCTTCACGTGCTCTCACTGGCACTAATATTTCTGCATGTTTTCTCTCTGACACTAACAGTTCTTCATGTGTTCTCTCTGACTCTAACAGTTGTTCATATGTACTCTCTGACATGCTAACCATTCTGGGTTCTTTCTGACGTGTTAACATC